CAATTCTGAACCTGCTCAGCTGCTTACCCTGCCTCACCCATTTCTTCCCTCGAAAACCTCAATACAGGCTTTTGCCCATATCTTCCCTTCAGTCCTTCTGCCATCTGATCAACCCTGGTACTGCTGCATATGGTCCTGCATGGCATGCCCCTTCCTCTTGGAAACTGTGAGTAATAAACTCTTCTTTCAAAGGCTGTCTCTGTGCCTGTCCTCTTTGCATACCTGATTAAAACAAATCCTGGATATGTTTCAAAACAGGAGCCAGTTCTGTCATTTACCCATCATCTGACTTTGGAAATACTTCTTATCCTCCGCCAGCTTCTGTGTCTTTATTTGTAAAACATGGCAAAATATTCCTATATCATAGGACTGCTGTAAAGACAGATGCTAATACACATTAACTGAGTGCACACTGAAGAAATAGTAGCTATGTGGCCTAGGAGGTGAGCAGATCAAGGAATCAAATCCCTCTTTAGGCTCAGAAATGAACAAATGCAATACATGGATCGATAGCCTTTCAACTTTATATGTCCTTCCGAATGTTCAGTTACCAGCAGACACAAATCAGGAGATATTTTGTGTATTGCTATTTTTGTTCCCCAACTGAAAAACTCCCCGCCCCCATATTAAATGATGGCTGCTGTTCCTGTTAAGAAATGAAACCTGATAATTAGTCTTTTCAGCAAGAGAACTAGAGGAAGTATTGTTTATTGCTTTTCCTCCACTCAGTGTCATTTTGACATGCTACCTACCTTCACTAATTACCTGAGGTAGATAAGCAAATTTATCAAGTAACATGGCAGAGAGGAAAGAGATTGGAATTAAAATCCCTCAGGCTTTAAGACAAATACCTGCTATGTGACCTTGGGCAAATTACTTAATAGCTCTAAACTTTAGTTTCCTCATCTGTAAAACGAGAAGGAACACTTAGCTAAGAAAGATGTATAAAAAAATCAGATATAATGTGAGTAATGAGTCTCATTAGCGGAAAGCCTTGGACTTGAACCTTCCCTCATTTAAAGGACCTGCCAACAAATTAACAGAGCCCCACAGCCCCCAGCTCTGAGTTTTCAGCATTTAGCTCTCTCCCTCTCCTCTCTTCCCTCCCTCCCTCCTCCTTCCAGGGGATGGATGAATACATTTTTCAGGATTTGAATCATTTCCTTCTTTCTCACTGAAATTGTGGCCCACATGGGATTTTATTGCTTGAAACAGAAGACCCCGCACATCCAAGCAATGACCAGATGTACTCATGTCTAGCATAAAGACTGGGCTTCAGTTGTCATCTCTGCCATTGAAGTTGCACTCGGGCTACGGGATTCAGTTACCTCTGAATAAATTATCTTACCTGTGAGTCCTACATGGAAAGACATAAATGGCCAGGCAACTCCCATCTTGGGGTGGGGCTTGGCTTATCTGGAAACCTTCCTTTTTTCCCCCTCATGCTGTCTATTCTTGCAAGTCCTCCTTCTGGAAGTCTTCCCAACAAATCTGCTTGGGGATTTCTATTTCTCTGGACACTTACTGGCCTTGAGTGTTCTGTTACTAAATTGCTAAGGATTTTGCATATTCTCATGACAGCCCAGTTTACCAGTCCAGAATCTCTGGCATGGCTTCTTCGTTGTCCCTCACAGGGCCTTGCACAGGGCCAGGAACCTGAGAAATATTAAGAAACTTCTGTTGATTCCTTGGTTGATTCCAGTTAAGGCTCAAGATAGTCCTGGAAGTTCTTAATTGAAACGATTGGGTTGGGTGCAAGCCAAACTATTAAGAGACTCACATACATAGTAACTTTACAGTTAACTAACTGTCATAGCTCTTGAGAAATTATAAAAATTTTTGACAACCTCCCTTTTTAAATCACAGGATGAGGACTTTTCACCCCAAAACACTAAATAATATGCTGTAGTTTCACTATCACAGTTTCAGGCAAAGACACACTGACCAATTTCCCTGACACAGCAGCTTGTGTTTAGAGAACATCACGTAGAATGATTTTGAGAAGTGGGTCAAGTGTGGATGAACATTGTGCTTTGTTTATGTGTACCATGTAGGTGGGGTTAGGAGGAAGCATCATTTACTGCTCTTTAGTCTGGGGATCAGTAAACTTTTTTTGTAAAGGGCCAGAAAGTATTCTAAGCTTTGCAGGCCATAATGTCACTGTTGCAAAAGTACTCAACTCTGATTTTGTAGCATGAAAACAATCAGACAGTATGTAAATGAATAGGTATGGCTTTGTTCCAATAAAACTTTATTTACAAAAAACAGGCAGTGGGCCACATGTGGCCCATGTGCCCGACTTTGCAGACTCTTGCTTTTATCTTTTGTGAACACTTGTTATTTCTCTGTGTTTTGAACTTGATTTTGCCCTAAAGGGATTTTTTTCTATGTTATAACTTTATTTTAAAGTGCAGTCTGATATTGAATGTCAACTGTAATTGAAAAATAAAGTGCATTTTGAGTGGAAGATAATCAGTGTTTCCTAAAAGGTTGAAAATTAATGTAGAAAATGGCACAGAATAAAGAATGCACCTTAAAATGAATGATTCACCTGCACCCTTTCCTCTACCAATTCCTACCCATCCTCAAGTGTTCCTTTATTCCTTCGGTGAGTAAAATCAACCTTCATTACATTACATTATACAAACAAACTGTTTCCAATATCTTAAAAGCTGTTAATTACTTTTATAGACTTATTTTCATTGTTCAGTTAATACATTTTTCTGCCTGCATTTGCATATCTTAATTTGGAATGGAATGCATCGTAATTTTCCTATGACAGTTAATGAGAGTTTTTTGTTTAACAGTTTTTCACTTAGCAGTTGAATGTTCTGGAATGAATTTATGTCATTAAGTGATGGATAGGTGTGCTTCAAGGTAAGCCCAATTGCCCTCACCTCTGGGGAAATCACCAGTCCAAGGAGGGTAATGGCTATGCCAGGGGACAGCTCACAGCCACCACTCTGTGTCAGTCTGGACCTGGAAAGGTATGAGGACATTTGGAGGATGTGTATGATAATGATCCTCCTTGCCATCTTTCTATTAATAGTTCATGTGTTTCTTATGTCACCTGAGGCTGGTCCTTGGGTCTCAATGTTCTCATTTGCAAAACAGAGATTAAAAATACTTTTGTTATCAAGTATATGGGTTTACCATGAGGTTAAAATGGGATATGAAAGTGCTATGCCAACGTGAAGTATCATTACCATTTGAACATTTAGAAAGAATTAGGGGGCTCAAAACACCCCACGCATTAGCATCTGAGGTTCCTGAAGCTGTTTTTTAAGAGCAAGTGGCTAGGGCTAATTTGAATGATTTTCATTGCTCATATTTCTTCCTTCACTGTTATGGGCAAGGAACTGTGGATGCTGGGGTTGTGGCATTGAACTTGATGGATACGATTCTTCATCTCATGGAGCTCACAGTCTAAAAAGGATTATGAAGTCACGTCAAAAAATTCTTGGGAGAATCCCATCCTAGGAGCCAAAGGCCTGCTAGGATGTGTTATGGAATAACAACAACATCATCATCAACAACGACAACAAAGTACATCAACAGACAATGAGCACATAATATCTACAACGTACCATGATGTCATAATTTGGACAAAGGCTAATGCTCTTCTGACTTTGGGGCAAAATGAAATGAGTAGAAAGTAAGGTAGGATGTGTTATGAAATAAATTTAAAACCTTGGGAGAATCCCATGCTAAAGGGTCTAAGTCCAGACAAGGACTAGCCAGATAAGACCATGAACTTGGGACTATGTTACAATGGACTCATCAGTGCCTGCTGAGCCCTGGTGTGACCTCCAGGGCCATAGGCACAAGTTTTGAATGAGAAAAGTGCTCTACTGGCTTCTAGATGTAGCTGAATCCTCCACCCCCACTTCCACTGTCCTATGACGTCCAATAGAACAAAAACAGGTAGGTAATAATTGGATTGTGAATTAATGATATCTATATCATTGGATGATAAAATCTGTATCATTTCCATAGCATTGGAATATCAGTTGCTCTTTCCCATGAAGAAAGCAGATTTTCATAACTTAAAATGTTAGCATAATCAAAGAAATCAAAGCTCCAGCCATTAATCAGTCTTTCCAGTGAAACCAGTTAGTTGCCTTTGAATTCATCCTGGGGAATCTGCTGAAATGGGTGCTTTATGTAAACACAAAAATGTCATAAACAATGGCTACCTCCTTGGGACTGGAGGACAAAATACATGGGTACACTTTTCATCAAAACATGCAGGGAAAAAAATCTCTTACCACATTTTTTGTGGTTGCTAATAAACTTAATTCGAACACTTACCTGGCTTTGAACAATTCTTAGCACTACAGAGAGGAAGTGCTTTTTCTTCCTCCTTAAAAAAAAACGTTCCCGTCCAAACCATCAGCCTCTGTAGGTTGTCTTAATTGCTACTTTGCACTGCATTGGACGATGACTCTGATTTTTGGCACATGCTGTCATACACAAAGTTCCTAAAATAAAATGCTCCAGGATATCCCAGGAACTCTTAGAAGGCTTTAAAAAGGGACTTGCACACTGAAAGAGTATCTTTGATGAAGACAATTCAGGCGAGCAGAATGATTATTGCAAAAGAATTACATGATTCGTTGAGATCTTGAAGTGGGTCTGGAGAATCCTTGCCACCTAACTTATCATGGTTAGGGGGAGTTTGACGAGAATCCAGTTTTGATAAAGACAATTGTTTTTCCTCCCCAAGTGACTATACATTTAAATAGCTAAAACATCTGTTCAGCAACATAGTAAAACATGTACACTCGGAACGCCTGAGAGAAGAGCCTGCCAAACAATCGGTTGAGAGGGACTTTGCTGGGGGGAGAGCACCAAGATAAAGCAACCACTGTTTGTTTTGTCTGGTCAGGGGGAGAGCCAAAGCAACCAATATTTTGGGTTTCTTTTACTTTATTTGTGAAGAACTATTTGAGAAAGGGTGGCGAGGGGAGATTTCCTGACGGGGAATTTTTAAGCTGTCCATTAGTAGACGAGCAAGAGAACCTTGGATGTCAACGCCTAACAGGCTCTTGAGACCAGCCACCAAACCACAAAAAGCGACTCTCTTCTTGCGTGGCCTCTCCATCCCTCCCGATGGAGGCAGAAACGGGGAGCAGCACGGAGACTGGGAAGTCGGCCAACAGAGGCACTCGGATCGCCCTGGTGGTGTTCATTGGTGGCACCCTGGTGCTGGGCACCATGCTTTTTCTAGGTAAGTGGGGCTCTGGAGGCCAGGGAGTGGGGGCGAATGCAGTGACGGCTCCTTGTGCTTTATTCTGGCAAACCTGTCAGGATGCAGGTGGAGGACTGTTTGCTTGTGTTAGTAGGTGGTGCATCCTTAGTTTCTCTTAAATATGCAAATATAAGAAGCCTTTTCTTTAGGAGGCTAAATAAATAAATACGCCCAAGTACCCAATGCATAGTCCAGAATTCGAAGTGTGTGTAAAGTGGCTTCGAGTGGCTGGAGGATGCGGTTGCACTGGGCAAACATTGTTTTTATGCATTACATTTAGCAAAATGAATGTTTATGAATTCCTAGTCAGATACTTTCATTTATTCTGTGAGGAAAGACTTACATTATGATCAAAGCCATGCTGGAATTTCTTTCCGTTTGATTTGTGTCGATGTTTGCCTGAATGAATCATGAAATTTAACTCACAAAATACAAATTAGTCTTTAAAAATGCACCTTTAACGGTATTATTCTTCAATTCCTTTCTAATCTAGTGACTCCGGTGGGATACAATTTTCACTCTGCCTTTCTATTAGATTTTGAAATTAATATGAAGGAAAACACAGGCTTTCTCCCAAGGTTTGAAAGGTATTGTGATTAAATGAAATACAATTAAAACAATTGTGTTTTAATGACTCTTGGTGAGAATGAGGTACTCAGAGAGTATATATAATGATAAAAATATATTCCTATGAGAAAGAATGAAGGACTTTGGAAAGGGGAGAAGGCTGTTCTAAGATTGTAGGTATTTTGAACCCTTGACTATCACCCTTTGTATTTTTCTCATACAGCCCATACTATTTCATTAGCTTGAAAGTGATGTAAGACCAAGCCCTATACTTAGGAGATTCTAGGTGCTGTTTGAAATGTAGCATGCCTGGAAACATTCCTTGGCACATACAGGATGCAGGAGGCCATGTTTATCTTGGCAGGGGAAAACCAGTAATTAAACTTTAAAAGCGTTAGGGTTGTGTGGCTGAAAATTCTGCTAAAATGAGCAAACCATCTTTCCATGTTTTCTGTGGATGAAAATTTAGGAAATTAGGTGGGTTTACTGCTTTCTGGTACAGCTAAACCTCCTACTCCTGCAACCAAATTTGTGGCTCTTGAAAACTGTTGTGAGATTTCTTGGCACCTGGGTTTTAGGCAAGTGTCCTATCCTTAAATTCCAAACTGGAGGAAAAATGATATGGGCATGCCAAGGGACTACATACTATGTGGGAAGTGACTACAAAGTTAGACTGTTTGTGATTTGCAAACGCTCCCAATTTAAAAATCCAAATGATGATTGCTTATGTAAAAATATGTACTCTTTTTAATGATGTTACTGCTGCTTGAAACTTTTTTGAAATTCCATTGTTATGATTACATTCTGAGGCTGTAGCATATTAGTGGGAATATTCTTGATGGGAGCAAATCTTTGTTCTTTGAGATAACATGTTTCTTTGGGATCAGCTCTAAAGCTTTCGGAGCACAGTAACATGCCTCAAGCCAGGCAATGCTATTATGGTAAGGAGGCCTGCATAAAATAAAAAAAAAAGGTAACTTTCTAGTGTGCGCAGTAACCTGGCTCTCACTGCGAATCTTTAAGAGGAGCTCGAATGATGTTAGCAAGTTAGGGCATAGCCATTGTATACCTCGGCTATTCAAAGTGTGTTCTGTGGACTAGCAGCATCAGCACCACTTGGGATCCTGATTCATAATTTTCATTTTTACAAGATCCCCAGGTGATTAATTTGCAAATTAAAGTTTGAGAAGCATTGCTTCAGGTGACCACATCCACTTAGATGTATACATTAAAGACATTCACTTTAAAATAAATGCATACTCTCAAATTTAAAAATAAATGATATTTTTGTGAAATGTCCCTGCACTATTTCAGACTCCCTCTTTCCCCCTCATTTGCAAAACAGAGATTAAAAATACTTTTGTTATCAAGTATATGGGTTTACCATGAGGTTAAAATGGGATATGAAAGTGCTATGCGAACGTNCCCCCCCCGCCTCCACCCTGCACCTAGCAAAGTTCTTGTCTGAAAACCTGGAACCTGCCAGGCAATGCTCTTTATGATGACATTTAAGGTCCTCGTCTCTTCAAGGTGATTCCAGGTATATTCTTCTGCCTGTTCAAGCTCAGCCACATGTCTGCAATTTTTAGCATTCCTGCTTACCTCTTTGTATTTTACTGTAGGGTCATTAATCTTTTTTCTAAACTTTAGTCCTTCTATAGTAAGAGTAATTGCCACTGGCCTTGGGTGGTATCAGAGAACTTAGAGCACTGACTTAAGACATTGGGTATATCTAAATGCCTATAATCAGTTTATTTTATTTTTGAGAATTTTTATAAAAAGTTATTTGGGCCAAACAGAAGATACGCCTGGAAACAAGATTTCAACACACTGAGCTATATGCTTCCCCTATAACCAGTTTACGTTAAAGTGTCCTTTCTTCTCTTCTTCCCCACAATATTTCTCCAATGCAATGATTGACAAACTTTTCTTTGTGAAGAGCCAGATAGTAAATATTTTCGGTTTTCTGGGCCATACTGTCTCTGTTGCAGCTACTCAACTCTGTTGTAGCACAAAAACAGCCATCACCAGTATGTACACAAATGGGCATGGCTGTGTTCTGGTACAATTTGAATTCTGGACACTGACATTTGAATTTCAGATCATTTTCACGTGTCATGAAATATTATCCTATTTATGATCGTTTCCAGTCATTAAAAAATGTAAGAGCCACTCTTAGCTTGTGGGCCGTACAGAAACAGGTGGTGGGCTGGCCTGGGCCCCACAGGCCATAGTTTCCTGACTCCTCACTTTATCTCATTCTCATGCTGTCTGCACTTTGAGGTCATTTCTGCTGGTTATGGAGAAATCTAAAATGAGAAACCAAACTGCTTTTTTTAAAAGCTCCTAGCCAGTAATAAGTAACATCTTCATTTTTCATATGAACAATATTTTCTTTGTTGTCTCCATTTTATTCACTTACACCTCCACATTATCTGGGATGGTTGATCCTTATTTATTTGCAGGATCTTAACATATTCCTGCCCCATGGATATAATGCTCTTCCTTGAAGGGTTGGGTTTACCTGCATCTTAATTAATTTAATTTAAAACTTCCTTTGAGTCATCATCAGAAAAAGATTTTATTTTAGTTCTGCTTCCTTAGAGGTTTTGGGTCAAGAATTATTTTACATGAAAGGAATACGTCTTTAAAATTTTTGCATTGAGATACAATTGACATGTAACATTCTATTAGTTTCAGGTATACAACATAATGATTTGATATGTGTATATATTGCAAAATGGTCACAATACGTCTAGTTAACATCCATCACCATACAGTTACATATTTTTTTCTTGTGATGAGAACTCTTAGGATTTTATCTTAGCAACTTTCAAATATGCAATACAGTATTATTAACTATAGTCACTATGCTGCACATTACATCCCCATGACACATTTGTTTTATAACTGGAAGTTTGTATCTTCAAAGTAATGTTTTTAAATGAAATATTTCGTTATCTTTTTTCTAAAATAAAATGAGGCTAGTATCAAGAAGATATTGTCCAGAATCATTAAAATATTATTATTGACAATGAAGTTTCTTTTCCTATTATAAAAATAACACATGCTCATTAAAGAACATTTGGTAAACATATGGAAGTAGACTGAAGGGAAAATTTCCCCCATAGTTCCACCACTCAGGCATGTTGACATATTCGATACTAATCTTTACACTGCACATACTATATAGTTTTACCTAACTTACTTTTTTGGTTTTTTAAAGAAGTCAAAACACACCTTTATGCTAAGATAGTTCTTTTCTTAAAAATAGGCCTGAGATGTTCCATAGGCAGTTTTCTTGAATCTGTAATATAACACAGGTAAAAAAGCCTGTTTGAAGGATGGCAGCAGATACAAGAACAAAGAAAGAGCCAACTCCTCTTAGAACGTGGGTTAATAAATAATACAAATCACTGCACTGGCAAGTGATGTACAGCTCTTCCATCTCTAGCAGAAATATAGGTACCGCCTTGCTTTCTGATTCTGCTTGTCAGCTGAGGATGCCACGAAAGGCCTTGGTCCCCCCTTCATCCCCCACCATCCATCTCCCCACGGCCACATCTCCAAACGATTCCTTATTTCTGCTCACAGAATACAGCAATAATGAATTCTCCACAACTTCCTCAGCTACCAAAAATATTTTTGAAATCTAAACTCACATCTGCTAATGCCCAGGTGCTACCTGGAGTTTACAAATGGGGCACCCTTCTGTACTTCTGCAGAAATTCATTTAGATAATGTTGTGCCAGATGGGAGAAATTAAGCTATTGGTGAAAAGCTGCTTCCATCTTGCGGGGTTTTTGTTCTGTTTTGTTTTGGTGGAAGTAATTGAAAGATTCGTCCACAAAGCTGCATCTGTCTGGTAGCTAGGCTGGGCCTGGAGGGAGGCGTGTGGGTGGGGTACGAGGCAGGCAAATCATGGCTCTTGCTAGATTACTGAGTTATACACAGTATATTCACCCCCACCCCCCTTTTTGGGCCATGTCTGTATGGACGGTTTAGAGAAGATCCAGAACTTTAAATGCCACACATGCTGCCTTTCTCCTTCCTCTTATGAAAAATTGACAGGTTTTAATTTTTCCATCTCTCAAACAAGAATGTAGTTGTAAACATAAAGAGTTAAATTATGATACTGAAACCACAGATAATTGGAGATGAAAGAGACTTAGAGACCATCTAGCCCAGTGATTCTTAAACTTGAGCTTGCATCAGAATCCCCCGGAGGGCTTGTTACAATGCAGATGTCTGGGCCCCACCCCAGAGTTTCTGATTCAGATGGTCTGCAGGGCTGCTGCTGCCCAGGGGATCCCACTCTGACAAGCACTGGTCTAGTTGTGCCCATTCGTCTTATGTTCAAGAGAACTGAGTTTCAGAGCAACCAAGAGTCTCTCACCAAGGTTACTTAGCTAGTGATCAAAGTCTGCTTTTGTGATACTGAGCCAACTGGATTTTTAAATTCCATCTCAATACTGAGAAGGATGAACTGATATCGAATGTCTTGCATACTTATATGTGCCTGACTGTGGGTTACCTGATGGTGGTCTGCTACAAACCAGTCATTTCTTTATTTTGGTCTGTTTTTTCAGTGAGTCAAGGTTTCTTAAGTCTCCAAGCTAAACAGGAGTACTGCCTGAAGCCAGAATGCATCGAAGCTGGTAAGTCAGTTTTCCATCCTCTGTCAAGTTATAATTATGGTACCTTGGGGAATGGATGAGAAAACAGGTGCTTTTTTTAGTATTCGGTTGGCTTGAGGTTAACCAAGTACAAAATGCAATTTTGATGAAATTTTAAGTTTACTTTCAAGTCTTGGTGTGAAGTCGTGGAGCATAGGTTTCCTGTTTTGTTTTTTTTTCCCTTGCAAAGAACAGTCGTGCGGTATTCCAAGTCATTACAGGCATACCTCGGATATATTGCAGTTTTGGTTCCAGACCACTGCAATAAAGCAGTATTGCAATAAAGCGAGTTGTAATCTTTTGGCTGGTGGAGAGTGTTGCCTTCAGTTTGTAAAAAAACACAACATCTGTGAAGTGCAATAAAATGAAGCTCAATAAAACAAGGTATTCCTATATAAGGAAATCACGAAAGCGCTCGGAAAGCTAAATGGCCTCTCTTAAGGCACAGAGATGGAGACCATCGGCCTTCCTATGGCCTTAACTGGATATAGATTTCTATTTATCTTAAACAGTCTTTTTGTATCTTCTGGTCAGTGGGTCTGACCTGTCTGTCTAAGCAGGGACCCTCTGTAAATCCATACTTCCACTGTCACCTGGAATCCCTTTGGGTCCTTCTATTCCACATTACAACTCAATTTTTTCCTGATGTACCAGGCCATGTAATTAGTGGGTAACCTAAAGTGAAGATGAGTACTTAAAGTTGCCTTAGTTTTACCATAACTATTAGATTCCCGCCATAAACCAGTGTTAGGGCCTAGATTTGCAGGACCCAGAAAGTCATAAAATAAGTTAAGTATAAGGCCCTTTCACTTTCATCTTGGACTTAAAAGAAGAGATTAATGAATTAATTCACCAAATATTTACTGCACTCCAGGGACCGACTTAGGTTTGGGAATACAGGCATACCTCATTTTATTATACTTTGCTTTATTACGATTCACAGATGTTGCATTTTTTTTTTTTTACAAATCAAAGGCAAGAACTTCCACCAGCAAAAATTTTACAACTTGCTTTATTGCAGTGGTCTGGAACCAGACTTGCAATATCCCTGAGGTATACCTGTATAGCAGTGAAGCAGAATGACCAGGTTAGGGAAGGGAGACAACTAACAAATACACAAGGCATCCAACGCACAAGAAAAGATACCAGCTGGTGGTACATGTTATGCAGAAAATGAAAATATTAAAATAGAATAATGGGATAGCAAGTGACAGGATGGCTAGATTGAAAAGTCTGAGGAAGTGATGTTGAGGTGACCCTGAATGATGAGAACGGACGTGCTGTGCGAAGATTTAGGAGAGGGCTTCTTTCCAGGTGGGAGGAATATCTGGAGCAAAGGTTCCATAAAGGAGAGAGCTTGGCGGACTTGAAAGATGGGAAGAGCTTGCTGGGTAGGGGGCAGAGTGCAGGTGATGAGGGTCAGTGGGGAACCCAGGTACCAGGGAGTTTGGGATTTTCCCAAATTTGTTCCAAAGCCTCTGGAGGATTTTAAGAGAGGGAGAGAGAGAGAGAGAGAGAGAGAGAGAGAGAGAGAGAGAGAGAGA